TTACTCAAATCTTCAGCAGATTGTGCTTTTTACGTAATTTGATGTATATTTAGAAAAAATTTGACAGAACGAATGTTTAAAAATATATAAAAAGAACAATTTCTAACTGATAAAAATAAAATAATGTAAAGAATTATTTCTGAAATAGGGATTAATTAATTTGGACATATCACTATTCTCGTAGTAACCTTACATCAATAATTTAACTGTTATTATTATTAGAGAACTAACATACAGTTGATATATCTATTAGTCAATTTACTTCTTAATTAATCTTACCCACTACAGATTACCGGAAGTTAATGAGGAAATATTGTTGTTGCTGCCACTCCTATGCCAGGAATCGAATCCTGACTCCTGGATATACATGTATTAGTACTCTACCACAAGGAGGTAACAGCAGCAACAATTTACCCTCAATAATTTGAGATTATCTGAAGTAGGTAATGTTAATTTACTAATACATTCAATTAACGCTACAAAAATTCAAAGTATTTCATTTGATATTTGATCAAAAATTTTTTTTTTCATTCCTAAATTTTAACTTACCAATTTTGGTTTGGACGGCTCGAAATTTGGGTGTGAGACTTAGGGGGTGTGACATTCTAGGGGGGGAGGCTGTAGGAGTTTTGGGCGACAAAATTTAAGGGTTAAAAGTTACATATGGTGTCAGGCGTGGGCAAATTCGCAGTGAACTGCAGGTATGCTACTCTAACGTTTTTATTTATTTAGGTTGCCGTGAACCTTATTTTCGATTATTTCCAAAGTATCTGTGGAGGATCTCTTATTACCCAAAGATACGTGTTAACAGCTGCGCATTGTTTGTACGAAGGGTAAGGCATTTGCTCTATTGTTAACAACATTGTTCAATGCACTTTGCAGCATTTTTCTCTTCATTTCCTTATCAGAGTCATATCGTTGGAAGTATTACTGGGGAAGCATAACATTCGACAAAATGAAACTACCCAACAACGCATTCCAACCTCCAATTTCACAATGCATGAAGAGTTTAACAATGATACATTAGAGAACGATTTAGCCATGGTTTATCTTCCAACACCAGCTATTCTCAATCGTAACTACATTTTTTTTTACTTCAAATATTTACTGTGTCTAATAATTAACCATCAAGTTAAAGATATAAATTGATAAATAAATATTCATACTTGATATGGTAAAGAATTTGGTGCAGCTTCATTCCCTCCCACAATCCTTACATCATCAGAGGATGCAAACTGATGGAGTCCTGTTGGAATCTTAAACAAATCACCAGTTACGCGAACCTGTAAAAATCACAAAAAATTACTTCATAATTGATCTTAATTAATGTTGTATCATTGCTTTACTGTAACTAAAGAAAATGTAAAGAAAATTAAGACAATTTCTTTCATTTCTGCTCGTGATAGAGATACTGTACAGTTCTTAATAGATTCACATTTTATAAGGGAATTTTTAAAGTACCTGTGTTGATAAAGTTTAAACTACGTCAATATGATTAACGATATAGTTTTGAATCTTTTAAATAAATATATGTACGTAATAATAATTAATGCTGCTTTAAACATATTTCGTAAGCGTATTATAAGGAACATTTAGTTGCTATAATCAACAAAAACAAACTATTTAAAATGATAGTTAGATAGATCTCCTGAAATATTAAATAAAAAAAACCTATATGTGTAATTATTGCAAAAAAGGAAATGGATTATTTCTTTCAAAATCTTCGTAATACAATTTATTAGAAATAAGAATAGATGGAGTAGATCATTAGCTACAACGTTATCATTTGTTGTTTTAAATTGCAATATTAGTAGAAAACAACCTTTTGTTTGTAAAGTATTGATATTCTTTGAGGTAATTAATACCCCTGACATATTATTATCGTTAGGTACATATATTAGCAAAAATAAAACAAATTAAACTAGAATTCATGCTGTCTATTCAACGTTATCATCATCAAAGAAGACAATAACTTGAAGTGTTGATTTTTTGAATCATACGATAACATTTAGAATAAATTTTTGATAATTTTTTTTCCGGGGCTTTTTTTCCGGCGGCTTTTTTTTTCCAGATTCCATCAAGTATATTATATAAAATTGTGACCTTGCGACTTTTATTTAATTCAATTTTATTCATAATCACTAAGCAGATCAAAGCTAGATTGATCACAGTAAATCTATTTCCTAATTGTTTATGATAAATAAAGCTACCAACAATTTTAAAAAGTTGCCTAGATTACTTTTACAAAACATCTTCCTATTAAGGTCTGGAAAGTTTCATCGAAATTGATATAGCCCTGTCGAATTGTATAGATAGACAGACGAAAGTGTCAATCGATACACGTGCCGCCTAAGATGCTCCGCTAAATCCAAGATAACGATAAATTGATTTTCGGGGAAATCGATTAAATAATAGCTATTGTAGCTTAGGAAATGGTCTACAAAAAAACGTGATACAAATTCGTTTTTTCGTAATACTAATGATTATTGAGAAACTTAATTTAAAAAGATTAACGTTTATCATGCATTGTTTTTGACATCACATTTCAGGTAGAGCAATAAACAAATTATCAATCTTCGTTTATTTGAAAAATTAGAATTAGCAACTTTTNGTCTTGTTTATTCAGAATTAAAAGCAAAACAAAAGTTCTAGCATGCAGAGGAAGAAAAAGTAGGAAAAGAGCGAATATAAAGGTAGGAGACAAAAAATTAGAACAAATAGCTAATTTTAGGTATCTAGGCAGTCAGATAAGTCAGGACAGAAGGAGTAGTAGGGATATAAAGCAGAGGATAGCTCAGGGTCGAGTCGCCGTCAATAAAAAGAAGTCACTTCTATGCTCGCGAACGGTTAATTTAGAAATTCGAAAAAGATTGTTAAAGGTGTATGTTTGGAAGGCGGCGCTGTACGGGTGTGAAACATGGACGGTGGTCGCTGCGGAAAGAAAGAGGAAAAGAAGAAAAGGTTAGAAGCGTTCGAAATGTGGTGTCACAGACGAATGAATAGGATACCGTGAATAGAAAAGGTTAGAAATGAAGAGGTATACGAAAGAATAGGAGAACAGAGGACTCTATGGAAGTCAATAAGAAATAGGCAAGATACGTTGGTAGGACATCTTCTTAAACATTACGGTCTAACCAGAGACATCGTAGAGGCAGAAGTAGGAGTTAGGAGGGGTAGAGGTAGATCTAGATTAGATTACTGTCAGCAAATAGTTAAAGATGAGGGATGTTCTAGTTTTAGGAGAATCCGAAGATTAGCTAAGGATAGGAAAGAGTGGTGGTGCGTGCCCAACCAGTCTTAGGACTGACAACTTTATGATGATGATTTAGAATTGTTTTGTTTTGCCAATACCTATTTAATACTTACATAATAATTTGGCATTGGATAGTAAGAAGTGTTATTTAATAAAACATACAATTAAATATAAAAATGTTTTTAATACGATAAATAAAATAGTCGCTCAGGTTGACAGGTTGATTTCTCCTCAAGTCTCTTGTCGCAGAACAGTAGAGAAACTAACTGTAGTTTAATGATAAAGTATTAGGAAGTCTGAAAAGGAGGAGTCAATTGTTAGAAAGAAAAATAAGGGAGGATCTAGAAGCGATTAAACTTAGGTAGGGAGCCAACCAGAAGGTAGTGAAATCTGGAATAATTTGACTTACAAAAACAGCGAATGGTCATAGACCCAAAAGTACCACAATAACCCATAACAAACATGTAATTAGAAGTAAAAAGAATATTAACGTCATGCGGTTAGCAACTGAAACTTATATGTTATTAGGGATTATTGGAAAGCACAGGTTTTTAGTTAAGTATAGAAATGTGAACAAAAGAAATTGCTTTGGAGTATAGAACAGTAACAATAGAACAAAAAGTAGGAATGGTGTTGTAAGGATGTGCATATTTACGAGTAGCCATAATTGACAAATTTATCTGAGTGTATTCGAAAGGATTATTTACACAACTAAACATATATACATCAACATAAAATTTAACATTACACGAACACAGAAATATACAAAATTAAATCAAAATATAATCAAAGATAATATCGCCACAATGGTAATGCTTGGAGAAGTGAAATAGAAATGGCTTCGACATGTTCAGCTCCGTGTTGACATACCTACAGTAGTATTATTTTATTCGTTCCATCATTTTTGGTTTAAGTCAAATAAGAATGCACTTTGTTTACCTTTATTGTAACCACACAGAGAAGATTCAGTGAAACGAAACTTAAGGTCTTGGATAAATGATCTACATCCATGAGACGTTCTCCATCAGGTCACCTGATGGACAGGATAAAATAATTATACTATTTAAATCCGAGATAGGGATAGATATACAGGGCCAAAAAATTACTATGCTTAGATTTAATTTAATGAAATCAGTTCTGTATGAAAATAAGTAAAAGTAAAACTAAAATACTGGTATGCAATGGAAGAAAAAGTAGGGAGAGAGCGAATTCAAAGATAGGAGACGAAAAATTAGAAGAAGTGGCTAATTTTAGATATCTAAGAAGTCAGATAAGTCAGGACGGAAGGAGTAGTAGAAATATAAATCAGAGGATAGCGCAAGGTCGTGTCGCCTTTAATAAAAAGATGTCACTTCTATACTCGCGAACGGTCAATTTAGAATTTCGAAAAAGGTTGTTAAGGTGTATGTTTAAATGATATTTAAATCCGGTGATTTGACTTTGAGTCTTTTTAATTCTATTTTGCACAGAGTACGTTCGCCCGATTGCACTGCCCAGTAGAGCTGACGCTTCGAATAGTTTTGTGGGATACGAAGCTATAGCAAGTGGTTGGGGATACGATTCTGATAATGCTACCGCTGTCAGTAACGTGTTGCGATATGTGAATGTTTCTATTATAGCAAACGATGTTTGTAATATTACGTTCGCTGAGTACATCACAGACTCAGTTATTTGTTCAGGAGGAACGGGTAAGAAAGGACTTTGCTATGGAGATTCAGGCGGACCTCTTGTCGTCAATGGAAAATTGGTAAATACACACAGGGTTTTTCAAACTGAGTGGCACGTTAGCATTTTAGAGAAACTGCGCATGTTAGAGATTTGAAAATTTTAAAGTAAGGGATCTCGAGGATGCCCTTTTAGTTAAAATATTTGAAATATTTTCAAATTTCGGCCACTTCCAGTTTATGTCGGAAGTTAATTCCAACTTTGTTATTTTGAATCGAATTATATATATTTTATGAAATACGAAATTTTAAGTTAAAAAGTAAAAAAACATAACTACTACAGAAAATGATAGTGTTGCAATTTTTTTCAGTTGTAGTAATTTGAAAATTTTAAAGTAAGGGATCTCGAGGATGCCCNATACAACTTCAATTTCTTCTATCAACATGCTCTTCTTGTTTATTTAATTTCTTGCTTAATTTCAGGCTTAGAAAATTTAATTTCTGTTATTAATTGCATTAAAGGTGTACCTATAGGATTTCCACAATGCATGCGTATATCTTCTTTATGTTTAGGGCTTTCTTTTAAAGCTTGCAGTTTCCGCTTGACGGCATTTGTCACATTTATAAGTTCCTGTTTAATTTTCTGATTCGTTGCAAGGTTGTCAGAAATGCTCCACATCAGTTTGCTGGTCTACAGTAAATTTTTGCGGACGCAGAGGCGGATGTGGATGTGAAAGCGAAAGTGTAATGATTTTAGGTGACTCTTTAATGCTGTGGTCGGGCGCCCTTTTCGCGAATATTTTGTTACAAATTTTGCATTTAGGACCTGCATCGTTAATACTAAAGATAATCACAAATGGATATTGGTTTTGACTTCAAAATTGCACTTTGAACTTAAAATTTACACCACTGAGCAAACACTACACAAAATAAATGACACTATAAGCGTATTAGTATTTTCGAAATGAAATTATTAGGCGAAATAAGTTAGGAAGAACTGAAAGTCCTGGACGTTTCTAAATCAAANCAAACCAGTGGTGATCAAACTATTTTACAGTTCTTGGCCTTCCCTGTAGTGCTGATATGCAAGAAAGATGGTTCTAAGAGATTCTAGGTGAACTACAGGAAGCGGAACGATGTAACACACTAGACAATCAAGCTGGAGCTAAGTGGTTCTCTACTTTAAAAGTTGATATTGACAAGTGGATGTGCATCCGCAATATAACTACACATTGAACCATCCCATGATGCCTTTTGGATTATGCAATAAACTAATTACATTTGAAAGACTCATGAACACTGTTTTATAAGGACTAATCTGGAAAATCTGTTTGGTTAATTTAGCGACATTTTTAGATTAGCAAGAAACTTCAACGACCACCTTCGAAATGTGACTGAAGTTTTCAAGAAATTGACAGCCGCAAACATGAGGTTAAGTGCCAAGAAATGTATCCTGTGTACAAGAGAAATGAAATACCTAGACCATGTCAACGAAAGAATTATGACCGTCCATGACAAACGGATGCCGTACGAATTGGCCACACACAAAGGATACTCCCGAACTTAGAAGTTTTCTCGTTCTTTGTTGATATAGACCAACGACTACACTGACTTACAGAAGAGGAAATTTCATTACAATGGACATTCGAAGATTACACTCTTTGGAGTTCCAATCATGACATACACACAGTTCAACGAACCCGTTATCGTTGATGCCGACCCTAATAATGTGTAAAAGAAAGGAAAGGGATAGGTCTTCGAGTACTTTTGTGAAACACTCTTAAATCAAGAACGAAATTATTGTTTGACCCGCCGAGAGCTACCGGCTGTACTTAAAACATTCAAACATTGTCTCAAGCACCTGTGCGGACGGAATTACTTACTTCAATTCAAAAACTCAGAAGGACAAATTACACGATAATTACAACGCCTTCAGGAATACAAGATAAACATTAACCCAAGAATGATATCCTCAAGACCATCTTGGGCAGATGTCGGCCACCTAAACCATACAACGAAAAGTTATTAGGCCCAGTGGAATTCCCTTGCCTTGGAACATGAAATTTTGAAGAGAATGAAGGAGAGCCCAGAGAAATCTTAGTAACAATCCATGACGAAAAACATTGACATTTCGGAGTTACGAATACTCTAAAGAAGGTACGTCAGAAATTCTATTGGTTACAAAGTAAAAGTGACATGGAAGACTATTGCAAGAAATGCTCAACATGCACCGTTATTAGGGGAGCTACGACGAGAATTCCTGGACGAATGCAGCAGTACAACGTAGGATCGTCATTTTAGAGGAAAGGGCCATTTCCAATGACAGACTCTGATATATCTTAGTCATCATGGATGATTGTAGCTAATGACCCAAACTATATCGAATGCCGAATCAGGAAATCGTTTCCAGAAAGCTTGTCAGTACCTTGATTAGCTGATATAGAGTTCGACTAGAATTCTATTCCAACCAGGTACGCCGAGTGAACTTTGTTCAAGAAGGTCATTGAATTAGTGTACATTGCAAAGACGTGGACTACGCTTTACATCCACGGTCTAATGAGATGGTTGAACGATTTACCGTTACTCTGGAGACCAACTTTAGAGGTTTCGTTAACGACGGGGCCAACACATACCGCTATTCTTTTTAGCTTATAGATTCGCCATCCATTAGACAACTGGAAGAACAACGACCAGCATTTTATTTGAGAAAGAACTGAAACTGTCAGTGGCCATGATGTTTAGTCGCTCTCAAGATTCTTTAGTTTCTACGGACGAATACGTGTGCAAACTTCAAAAACGGCTGCTGGGCGTACGAAGTTGCGATTTGAAAGTGGCCGCACAAAAATCAGATAAGATCGCCGAGAACCAATTCTGCTGAGTTTAATGAGGGCTACAAAGTATGGGTATATAATCAATCAAGACGGAAGGGACGTTGCCCGAAATTACAAGCCTGGGATGGTCCTTACACCGTTACTCAACGCATCAACGATTCGAATTCAGAAGGAAACTCGGGCAATAATGAAAATCGTCCATCTTATCATCATCATACCATGTCGAAGTGTAGTTTAAATAGTACTGCATACTGTCAGCAGTCAACAAAGTAGTAATTTAATTAACTGTTATCGCAATGGGGTCTAAATATTATTATGTATAGTAACATGGTAGTAAACTGTTGATAATTGCTATATTAGTTGTTCCACAACCGTCGCTGCTTATATTTTTCATCGATGTAGCTACTTAGTTGTTATCGCAAATTCTTTATACGAGGGTGGATTGATAAGTTTCCGGCCTAACCAAGAGATGACGCCACTAGGCCTACCTTGAGGTGACATTCTATAGTACCATCCTTGGATAGCTTGTAGCTATAGTTTCAGCNTGAAGACGCACTCAGAAAGAGATGAGAAAGACACGACAAGTTGGTGGCATACTTAATAGATTTCGCAATTCTTTACCAAACAAGTTTTAAAACTTTTGGATAAAAAATTTTAGAATAGTATTTCCCTCGATCTTTAGTTTGAGGGTTGTTTTACTTTATGTTATTGGTGTAAGAATGTAAAAATGACTTAAGGTTGCAATACAGTTATTATTACCAACATGTAATTGTTGGCAATAGGCATTGCAATGCGGGTGATTATGTTAATGGGCTACTATTTTACTGTATTATTTCTTATATATCATGGTTTACATATACACATACATATACATATACATATATAGAAAGATAAGTATTGATTGAATAGTTTAAGAAATAACAACATCACTGTTTGCTGCAATCCATTTTAGAAATGATGTTACCCTTGAATAGACGCTTGGATCGCCAGAGTCACAAGTTTTAAAACTCCCAAACGAAACTACACCAACCTGTAACAGACACACAACAATTAACTCTGTATTGGAATCTCAATGGCACATTTACAACTGAGAGTGGCAATGAAGTAAAGCCTCCTTTTAAGGACCAACACCATCGTTCGACCTGATGTGGTACCGTAAGTGACCTTAAATAGTTTAGTATTAATGGTCGACATAGCAGATGATGTCATCGTTGGATTGAACCTTCTTCAAGAACATGGATTCTTAACACTTCTACAATACGTATCAATGGACAAGTGATAGTGATGTCAAACCCCAAGACTTAGAGAAAGATCGAGTACTACCTAATCACTCCGAAAGTACTGTAACAGTCAGAAAATAAACGACGACATTGGCCGATTGGTGGGGGTAGTCGAGTCGGATAATTCAGACTTGGCACAGAAAGCACTATTGGTAGGACGTAAGAAGTGGAACTTCATCGATACCTGTTAGGAGAGTCAATTTGAAAAACTTCGAACAGAAGATCTACAAAGGCACAGAGTTAGGTGTATTTGAACCAGTATCTGAAATCCACCACTGTAACTAGAAAGAAAAACCTGAGACGAAACCGACATCACTTCCTGCAACTTTAACAGTACTGAGAAGCGGCCAAGTAATAATCTCAACAAACACCAACTCACGCAATTAGAAGAACTTCTTAGACATTTTACACATGTTTTTGCCCTATCGGGACAAGACTTTGGTAAAACCAACTCAACTTACGACTGCATGAACAATGGAACACCAAGGCTCATCAAACAACCATCTAGAAGAGTTCCTTGGACGAAGTAAGAGCAAGTCAATAACCTTATAAATGACATGCACAAACCAGTGGTGATCAAACTATCTTACAGTTCTTGGCCTTCCCTGTAGTGCTGATATGCAAGAAAGTTGGTTCTAAAAGATTCTAGGTGGACTACAGGAAGCGGAACGATGTAACACACTAGACAATCAAGCTGGAGCTAAGTGGTTCTCTACTTTAAAAGTTGATATTGACAAGTGGATGTGCATCCGCAATATAACTACACATTGAACCATCCCATGATGCCTTTTGGATTATGCAATAAACTAATTACATTTGAAAGACTCATGAACACTGTTTTATAAGGACTAATCTGGAAAATCTGTTTGGTTAATTTAGCGACATTTTTAGATTAGCAAGAAACTTCAACGACCACCTTCGAAATGTGACTGAAGTTTTCAAGAAATTGACAGCCGCAAACATGAGGTTAAGTGCCAAGAAATGTATCCTGTGTACAAGAGAAATGAAATACCTAGACCATGTCAACGAAAGAATTATGACCGTCCATGACAAACGGATGCCGTACGAATTGGCCACACACAAAGGATACTCCCGAACTTAGAAGTTTTCTCGTTCTTTGTTGATATAGACCAACGACTACACTGACTTACAGAAGAGGAAATTTCATTACAATGGACATTCGAAGATTACACTCTTTGGAGTTCCAATCATGACATACACACAGTTCAACGAACCCGTTATCGTTGATGCCGACCCTAATAATGTGTAAAAGAAAGGAAAGGGATAGGTCTTCGAGTACTTTTGTGAAACACTCTTAAATCAAGAACGAAATTATTGTTTGACCCGCCGAGAGCTACCGGCTGTACTTAAAACATTCAAACATTGTCTCAAGCACCTGTGCGGACGGAATTACTTACTTCAATTCAAAAACTCAGAAGGACAAATTACACGATAATTACAACGCCTTCAGGAATACAAGATAAACATTAACCCAAGAATGATATCCTCAAGACCATCTTGGGCAGATGTCGGCCACCTAAACCATACAACGAAAAGTTATTAGGCCCAGTGGAATTCCCTTGCCTTGGAACATGAAATTTTGAAGAGAATGAAGGAGAGCCCAGAGAAATCTTAGTAACAATCCATGACGAAAAACATTGACATTTCGGAGTTACGAATACTCTAAAGAAGGTACGTCAGAAATTCTATTGGTTACAAAGTAAAAGTGACATGGAAGACTATTGCAAGAAATGCTCAACATGCACCGTTAGTAGGGGAGCTACGACGAGAATTCCTGGACGAATGCAGCAGTACAACGTAGGATCGTCATTTTAGAGGAAAGGGCCATTTCCAATGACAGACTCTGATATATCTTAGTCATCATGGATGATTGTAGCTAATGACCCAAACTATATCGAATGCCGAATCAGGAAATCGTTTCCAGAAAGCTTGTCAGTACCTTGATTAGCTGATATAGAGTTCGACTAGAATTCTATTCCAACCAGGTACGCCGAGTGAACTTTGTTCAAGAAGGTCATTGAATTAGTGTACATTGCAAAGACGTGGACTACGCTTTACATCCACGGTCTAATGAGATGGTTGAACGATTTACCGTTACTCTGGAGACCAACTTTAGAGGTTTCGTTAACGACGGGGCCAACACATACCGCTATTCTTTTTAGCTTATAGATTCGCCATCCATTAGACAACTGGAAGAACAACGGCCAGCATTTTATTTGAGAAAGAACTGAAACTGTCAGTGGCCATGATGTTTAGTCGCTCTCAAGATTCTTTAGTTTCTACGGACGAATACGTGTGCAAACTTCAAAAACGGCTGCTGGGCGTACGAAAGTGCGATTTGAAAGTGGCCGCACAAAAATCAGATAAGATCGCCGAGAACCAATTCTGCTGAGTTTAATGAGGGCTACAAAGTATGGGTATATAATCAATCAAGACGGAAGGGACGTTGCCCGAAATTACAAGCCTGGGATGGTCCTTACACCGTTACTCAACGCATCAACGATTCGAATTCAGAAGGAACCTCGGGCAATAATGAAAATCGTCCATCTTATCATCATCATACCATGTCGAAGTGTAGTTTAAATAGTACTGCATACTGTCAGCAGTCAACAAAGTAGTAATTTAATTAACTGTTATCGCAATGGGGTCTAAATATTATTATGTATAGTAACATGGTAGTAAACTGTTGATAATTGCTATATTAGTTGTTCCACAACCGTTGCTGCTTATATTTTTCATCGATGTAGCTACTTAGTTGTTATCGCAAATTCTTTATATATTGAAGGCACAGAGTTAGGTGTATTTGAACCAGTATCTGAAATCCACCACTGTAACTAGAAAGAAAAACCTGAGACGAAACCGACATCACTTCCTGCAACTTTAACAGTACTGAGAAGCGGCCAAGTAATAATCTCAACAAACACCAACTCACGCAATTAGAAGAACTTCTTAGACATTTTACACATGTTTTTGCCCTATCGGGACAAGACTTTGGTAAAACCAACTCAACTTACGACTGCATGAACAATGGAACACCAAGGCTCATCAAACAACCATCTAGAAGAGTTCCTTGGACGAAGTAAGAGCAAGTCAATAANGCATAACATTCGACAAAATGAAACTACCCAACAACGCATTCCAACCTCCAATTTCACAATGCATGAAGAGTTTAACAATGATACATTAGAGAACGATTTAGCCATGGTTTATCTTCCAACACCAGCTATTCTCAATCGTAACTACATTTCCTTTACTTCAAATATTCACTATGTCTAATAATTAATCACCAAACATATTAAAATACTAATAATTATTGTTCTTTTTTGTGTTTGTTACAGGTAGGTGTATCTTCATTTATAGGTTATAATACCTGTGAAGCTGGCGATCCAAGCGTCTTTACAAGGGTAACATCATTTTTAGACTGGATTGCAGCACACAGTGATGCTGTTATTTCATAAACATTCCCTAAATGATTGATTTGTGCACTGAAGCAAATATTACAAATAAACATTAAAGAATTGAATTATTGAATCGACATTTATCTTTCCTAACCCGTTCATTAAAAGTTTTTAAACTTAAGGTATCAGTAAAGATTTGAAAATGCGGCAAATAACTTAAAAACTGACACACTTTCTAATCAAAATATTTACAGCGTATTATTCAGTTAATTTTGAAAATGCCGTGATTAAATAATAGCTACTCTAGCTTAGGAGCATGATAAAAATTCGTTTTTTTTTTTCGTAATACTAGTGATTATTGAGAAACTTAATTTGAAAGATTAACGTTTACCATGCATTCATCTTGACATCACATTTCAGGTAGAAGAATAAACAAATTATCAATCTTCGTTTATTTGAAAAATTAGAATTAACACCTTTTTATTTTATTTCGTATATGATTTATTTTTATTATTAGGACTTTCCTCCTTTAAAATTCTTTTATTGTAATAACAAATATGGAAAGAAGGAGAAGAAAAACCTCATTATTTGAAAGATGAAGGAGTAAAGAGAAAAAACCACCTACAATTAACTGCAAGATTCAGATTGGGAAGCGAAAATAGAGCGTCAAGGTATTGGGAGGAAGAAGAAAAGAAATTATGCAGATTATGTAAAAAGGAGCCAGAGACGCTTGAACATATTTTTGAGCGATGTGGGGAAACGGGAAGTTCTGCAAAAAGCTGGAAAGCTCAACTGGAAGGAGTGAACAACATGAAAAGGATGAGAGAAATCTTATGGAAGAGAAAAATAGCAGGAGAAGAAAAATAATAAAAATTGTACTTGGTATATATAAAACATATTTTTGCACCTTGTATATATAAAACATAATGTTTTTAATAAAGCTATCTATCTACCTATCTAATAACAAAAATTGTTAAAAAATTAATTGGTTATTTGTTGATTTTTACTACTACTAATTTTCTCTCTCTTTTCTCTATTTTAGTTAATTTGAAAAGGGCTGTTTAAAGTATGGCAGAAAAGTTGTTTGTTGTTGCTATTTTCGTTTGTTAATAAATTGTGACATTATGGCAGTTAATTCACTGTCATTTGCTTCTTTTATTTTCAATAGATGGTGTTCGCAGGCGAAAGGTATCGTCACACATTACAATACACAGATTCAGTACCAACGGGTTTCCGCATCTTTATATCATATTAACGTTGAATCTGATCCTTACGAGGGCATTTATCGTGAACCGCCCTTTTCGTTTTCTTCTAGTTATGCCATCAGGCTGTGGTTGATTACAATTGTGTACAGTTTTCCCTTCCGTGTAGTAAAACAGAAAGACTTCTTGGACAAACTCTGGAATCAGACAGTTTATGCGTCACGTTGTCCAGACCTGTAAAGCGCCCACGTTACACTTTCCCAATACAACTTCAATTTCTTCTATCAACATGCTCTTCTTGTTTATTTAATTTCTTGCTTAATTTCAGGCTTAGAAAATTTAATTTCTGTTATTAATTGCATTAAAGGTGTACCTATAGGATTTCCACAATGCATGCGTATATCTTCTTTATGTTTAGGGCTTTCTTTTAAAGCTTGCAGTTTCCGCTTGACGGCATTTGTCACATTTATAAGTTCCTGTTTAATTTTCTGATTCGTTGCAAGGTTGTCAGAAATGCTCCACATCAGTTTGCTGGTCTACAGTAAATTTTTGCGGACGCAGAGGCGGATGTGGATGTGAAAGCGAAAGTGTAATGATTTTAGGTGACTCTTTAATGCTGTGGTCGGGCGCCCTTTTCGCGAATATTTTGTTACAAATTTTGCATTTAGGACCTGCATCGTTAATACTAAAGATAATCACAAATGGATCTTGGTTTTGACTTCAAAATTGCACTTTGAACTTAAAATTTACACCACTGAGCAAACACTACACAAAATAAATGACACTATAAGCGTATTAGTATTTTCGAAATGAAATTATTAGGCGAAATAAGTTAGGAAGAACTGAAAGTCCTGGACGTTTCTAAATCAAAATAGGAAACTAACAAAAAAAGAATAAAACCTGGAAAATATGAACATACCAAATAGATTTAGGCATTTAACAAAATTTTGCCGGTTATAACACTACATTGACGCTGATACTTCATTAACATAAACGGTTGATAATAATACGTTAACAATGTTACAAAGAAGTCGCTGAAAGCTGGCGAAGGAACCTCCACAACATGCAGCATTGCAACGAGCGATTCTATTTAAATTGTGTTTTGAAAATGGCCAAGTTCAACCAAAAGATAAAAGTAATTAATTTTTACTACTGGTTTTATTGTTGTGGTATATTAATTTTCAAAAGGATGAGAAATCAGATTTTGTTAAATTCCGATAAGCTTTCCTTATAAAAATGCGGAACCAGATGCAGAAGCAGATATGAAGATGTATGCGAAACTTCCGTAATTGCGGAAGCCGAACCAGAGGTCTGCTGCAACACTAATATATATTGATCAAAACGTTTACAATAGCGACCGACTGTCTTTATGAAAACTTAAGAAGTGGATTTATTTGGCAACGATACAAACACTCAATGCATTTATGACATTCCGTACTAAAATAATCTCGAATTATAATCAGAAAAAATTACTCGACTTCCTTTAATACCACTAGGTATTCGCTGGATTATCAGCGCTCAGTGCTTTATCAGGAGTAGCAGCTGGAAACGTAAAAGCTGTCAATGATGCTAAAGCAGCTCAATTAAGTCTAAGCGAATTAGAACGACAAAACAAATCCATAGAAGTAATTGCTCTTGAGAAATGACTTTTTTGAAACGATATAAGAAAGGTTTAGGGCTTTATTTACCAAACCAAAAATTTTTACAGATACATCAAAAAACCTCAACTTCAATAAAATATTAAAACTAGAAAAAAGTTTGGATAAATATAATGAAGAAAGCGGTAAGGAATAGCTTAAACTCGGACAAAACAACTCAAAAAGAAAAGTGAAGAACTAGAGGAGTTGGAGACAAAAGAAACAAAAGGGCAAAAGAAAAAAATAAGAAGAATGAAAATGAAATTGAAAAAGAAAAGAAGGAAAAAAACTAAACCTGATAATCTTTGGAATAGAGTTAGAGGAGAACAAAGAGAAGAGGGAGTTAGAAAGAGTTATAAAAGACAAAATGAGATTGAAGGTAGAAGTAAAAGAAGTATGGAAAGTTAACAAGAACTGATTTTTAGCTGCTAGTGGATTTGTGTCAGTGGTTGCAACAACGCAAAGTACTGTGGAGCCAAATTGTTTTCATAAGGCGTTGTTTAAGGACAAATGTATCACGAAATGATGATAACCAGTATTGATGAGACTGTCGAACTTTTTTGCTCGATTCAGAAAACGTTTTGGTAGCCGTCAGGCATCGAGACGTCTACCAAAATTCTATAACTGGATTCAGATTTCGATCATTTTGTAGTTTAAGGATGTGTGTGGGTGTTTGTACTGTGTAAGAAAGATAACGCCCCTTGGCAATACCTTAAGGATCAGTTAGTATTTTGTACACTCACATGCTGAAGTGTATTTTAAATAGTACTACATACTATCAGGAATGAACAAATATTGTTATTAATTCCTTTATACTGTAATAGGTATATAACCATTATGTGTAGTAATGGTTTTGTTGCTGTCTACTTTATTCGATCGACAAGCGGTATTGTTTACGTTCTCCATCGTTGTCCTTATCTCAACTCGATGTATAGGTACTGATATACGTTGCCATTTGAGACCCAGGACCGGTTTCGAATTGTAACTTGTGGTTTTCTTACATTTATTTGTCTCTTAATCGTGCTGCTTTATTCAAAATGGAATTCACTATTACATCTAGTTGACATCCTCTAAACTTGCCACTTATTTCAAAAACACCCTGTATATGGGACAAGAAAGAAGAGGAAATGGTAAAAAAGAAGGAAAGCAGACATTAGAAAAAGTTATTGTGGTGAAATGTATACTTATACATAAATAAAAAGTAGAAAGAGGAGGCTGTGGTAAATATTAATTAAAAATAAAAAGGAAGACTCATCCCTAATTACCACAAAAAACTTTACTTGAGCGAACACGTGTTTCGCCCACTTCATACGTGGGTATTATCAACTCGACACATATACATATATAGAAAGATAAATGTCGATTCAATTCATTGATGTCTATTTCCAATATTTACTTCAGTTATTTAAGAAACGTTTAAGAAATAACATCATCACTGTTTGCTGCAATCCAGTCTAAAAACTATTAAAACTCCCAAACGAAGTTACACCAACCTGTTACAGAAACAACCAAGAACAATAATATTGTTGTACCTTCTGTTGTAGGTCATCGACATCGTAAGATCGTCAGTCCTAAGGCTGGCTGGGCACGCACCTCCACGTAGGTATCTCTCTAAACCTAGAAAATCCCACACCCTTAACTATTTCCGAAGAGTAATCTAATTTAGGACTACTTCTACTCCTCTTAACTTCTGTTTCTGCCTCTAATATGTCTTTGGCTAGCCCTTCATTCATGACGGAGCGTACACACACTTCATGAAACAGCTTGGGCCACTAGGTAATAAGGGAGCAGCTAAGGGGTAAACTGTAAGAGTGTCGCTAGTAATCAAGAACATACATCTCATTGTCACCAAGCTATTGAGGGAACGCTTAATTGAAAAAGGTTAGCTGTGGTTGGTGTTGCGCGTTAGGGAAGGCTTATAGGATACCACAAAAACACGCGGGAGACGGTCTTCGTTGGGAAATCTTCTAGCCAGAAGCTCCTTTAAAGGAGACGCGTCAGGACTGAGTGAAGTTTCTGCCGACCAAGGTGTTCCCGTTTAAGTGCTAACCTGCTGCACCTCGCAGATTAAGTAAGTACTATAATTGTGGCTCTAATAATGAGCATCGGTGGATAGTATGCGTTGTACCGATATGATTACGGAAAAACGGAGAAAACTAGTTGGGAGAAATATCAACGAGAGGGTACATTCGTAAAACTCCTACAACTAAATGCCAATAGTCGTTGGAAGGCCAAGGAGCTCATTGAGCAGCTGGGAACTAGCATCCGAAAAATGGTGCGATGCTGCCCCGAAA